AGATGAGACAGAAGACATTTATCCGATATATATATATATATATATATATATATATATATATATATATATATATATATATATATATATATATATATATATATATATATATATATATTACAAAAGATTCACAATCGGCGATAAACGTACTGTTTAATAAAAATCATTAGGTTTGGAGTAAAACATTTAGTGTGCACTTGTTGGCAAACAACATAATAAAAGAAAGAAGAAAACATTTTTCTTTTATCGCTGCTTGCACAACTGTACGGACAACGAAACTTTACAAAAGCATTTGCAATACTATTGTGACGTGCAAGGAATAAGGATGCCGTTCAAAGAAAATAGTTTATTGCAGTTTGCCCATCACCATCACAAATTAAAAATTCATTTCGTTGTGTACGCTGATTTTGAATGTTTACTTCAACCCGAATTTGGCGCAGAAAATAATGCTGCCCAAACGAGTACAAGAAATACTAACAAATCATGTTCGGTGTAGGGCAGCAAGATAGCTTTGCTGAACGGAACGGAGATTGTCCAAACTGATCCGATTATAATGCGACAAAACTCCGGCTGTTTGGCTTCTCAAGCAGTTAATTGGTGTGATCGATGATATATTTGATCGCTTAAAAAGACTAAATCCAATGAAAAAACGGACACCTCGATGAGAATTCATCACAAGCAAGCGGAATGTTGTCATATTTGTGAACAAACGTTTGAAGATAACAAAAAGTGCGCGACCATTGCCATCTCATAGGACGGTGTCGTGGAGCAGCTCATGATAATTTAAGATATCTCGTAATAGATTTTATTCCGGTTATTCTTCACAACTTCCGAGGATACGATAGCAACATTAACGTAGAAGGTTTTGGTGATCCTGACAAAATCTCGTTTAAAACTTGATAACGACGTGATCAAGTGCATTCCAAATAATTTTGAGAAACTATATGTCCGTTACGCTAGGGAAGTTGCGTTTTATTGACAGACTGCAGTTCATGGCAGCATCGTCAGATTATATATATATATATATATATATATATATATATATATATATATATATATATATATATATATATATATATATATAGTAAACAGTTTGATAACCTACGAGACGGTTTTGGAGATAAACATATTCTACTGACCAAAACAAGGAGTATTTCGGTACGAAGATTTCGAAGATCGGAGTAAATTTGACGAATAAATTGTACTTGCAACTTAACAATGAAACTATTAAAGATGACAAATACGTAAAAGATAGTTGGGTTAATTGAACTGCAGAATATTTGGTGATTATCACAATTTGTATCTGAAAACTAAAGAGTTATTGCTAGTGGACGTATTTGAAAGTTTTCGAGAAGTGAGTTCTAACAATTATGGATTTGATCCTTGTTTGTATTATTCTTTTCCCATGCTGTCGTGGGACGCTCTGTTGAAGTTCAGCAAAGTAAGGTTAGAGCTACTGACTAACGTTGATATGTTTAATTTTATCTGGAAAGGTATTCGAGGCGGTATTAGCGTAATCACAAAGAAATATGCCTAAACAAACAACAAATACTTAAAAGAATACAATTCCAAGCTTCCTGAGAAGTATATCATTTGTCTTGATTGTAATAATTTGTAATTCTTCTATGGCCGAACCAATGCCTTTCGCTGGATCATGGCTGATCAGTTTCTATCTGAGAAGACAAATGATACCTGATGATGTTTCCTATTTCGTTGAGGTTCATTTCCATTAATCAACTCCGTTATACAATTTACACAATGTTTACCATTTCAGCGTTAAATGGATGGTAATAGAAATAGATGAAATAGATGGCATTGTCAAAAGTGGGTTAAGTAATTTTGATAATAAATGTTGTTGCGATAACGTGGTAGATACATTTGCACATGGGCACTGTCACGAAACGGATTTGCTCGAGCTCATATTTGGTTTCTAGGGTATGTAATTTTGTGTGAACAATATAAATGTTTGAAAATTGGACAGTCACAGATAGCTACAATTTCAAAATCAAATATCTAACGACAGACGGCAGACCGTTGACAATTGAAATCCATAATGAAATATCTGGTGTATGCTTTGTCTCAGCTCGTGATAAGCTAAAACTATCGCTCATCAGATCTTATGACATCGGATATTACAAATACCTCGAACATCTAAGCCAGAACTTATTGGCGGAGTTTAAAAAATTTCACGATCCGTTCAGTCACCTGAAATATACTAAACTTATCATCGATCTCGATCGGTAAAAGGTATATTTAAGCGACAACAAATATCCTCTTCACAAGCTGCAAATGAAAGATTTGTTTGATTCTCGTCTCCGTGTGAACGGCAAAGTAATGCTTAGTCTCTACCATCGCGACAATGAAATATTTCTGATATCCGGTGGAAACATTGATCATTGTGGACGAGGTTTGAAAATTTGACAGTCACAGTAATAGTTAAAAGACGGCTTATTGACCAAAGATTCCTAAAATGCCCCAAACAAGTACGATCGTAGAATATATTATCATATGAGATAATGCACAAAAAATCATGACGTTGATGATGATGTATCATATATTTTGGTCATCCACAAGATGGTGATCGTGGGGATATTTGGCGAGGTGGTCGGTCGTACTTGTTTGGGGCTTTTTAGGGGTCTCTTGACCAAAACTGACCTTATTCTACTACTGTAGTGTCAGGTCCGGATTAAATTGTCCCCAAAGGGTTTTAAAGATGCAAAACGTAGACTTTCATACTACTATGAGATTGTAGAAATCTTAAAGAGAGACACACTTGTTTAGGCAAGCCTATGATAGTGATGATTAAAAGCACTTTGTAAGCTAATGTGTTGATCGATCGATAAGCAGTTGTCTGTGTGAAGATGTTTTTAGTTTTCTCTGTTTGTAAATTCGCGTTGTTTCTTATTTGTGCTCGTATCTCTTTGCGATTTTCCATTTCAGACAGAACCGTTTCAAAGTCATCATACTGATTATTTTATCTTCAGCTGCTACCTAGTGCAATTTACTGATCGTATTGAGATTGCGTTATGTGGCCACAAATAATTCGGAATATGTGCGTTGTCGAGAATGTGTTCGCATGGAAATTTATTTGCTAACAACACCAGAGACACCATTTACTATCAATATAGTTCTAACAATAATACTGATTGGTGTACCTACAAAAGTTGACATTGTGATTCCAGTCACACTATGACCGACTGTTGCTGCGACAGCATGACTGCAAAAAGCGTCTACGACCAAACAAGCGTCTGTATTTCACGATCAGCTTGGTTCTCGTGGCGATTCCATTTCGCAGACGATTTTCGGCTTCGAATATTTTTTCACGTCAGTATGAGTTAGGGTCTGTCACTAGGGGGTACGGGTGGGGTGCGGACCGCACCGGATGACATCATGACAGAGAGTGACACCAAAATGGTTGTCTATACAATTTTTGAACTTTTGTTCAGAAAAGAAGTCCATGTGGATGACACCATGAGATACCTCACATGACTGTCTATAAAATGTTTTAATTTTTATGCAGGAAGGGGGTCCATGTGTAGTGACACTTTGTGTTACCGCACTTGGGTGACACCAACCCAAGTGACTCCACTGCTATCATAGTTTTTATGTTAATAATACATCACGTATTTTAACTGTGATACTGGAAGACTTTGTCCAGTCTCATCATCTCTTGCACACAAAATACGCACGCGCACTGCTGACTATTTACCCTTTTTTAAACTGCGACAACTGTCTCAAAATTATAAAAATTCTCTGCCTCTGGAATATTTAAAGCTCCTGCAATTGTGTTATGGTGGTTTGGGACCCCTATCATACAAAAACATACCGAATACGCAAGCACCTTTTACATTTAACGATCGTCTTTACAACACAAATTGCTGTCACCCGGACAAGTGCGGACTTGTTAAAAAACGTCATAACGTTTCATTTCTCATCTGGTTTTAAAAATATTCGATGGTAACGTAACGGGGATGGACACTTTGGTGAAGAATACTTCACAAATGTGGAAACAATCCTGGAGAGATTTATCTTTTTGTGCTGTAGTCAAAGCTTTGTCGTTTTCACGTGCATATGCTACGATTCCTAACTGAGTTCAAGTTGGTTGCGGTGCATCAGGGTGATTTCAGCGAGCAATTTCTACTTAGCCATTAACATAATTATATGACAATTCATATGGGGGCTTGGTAAAACAGCTTTCACGAAGCTATGCCTCGAGTGGAGCATAATTGTTCCACGTAAGTAGTGAAGTGGGACGATATATAGACAATGAAATTAGCATTACAAGACCCTCTTAACCCCTGGAGTAAAAATAAAACAAGGAGGACACTCAGCTGAAATAGAAAAATACCCATACCAGTAAAGATTATTCGAGAAGCTAGAGAAGAGAAACATACGCAAGTTAATACAATTCAAAAGAGATAGGCAGAAAAAGATAAAAATAAAATTTACTTAAGTACTATATTATGAACATTCAGTCAGATTCTTATTCAAATAAACAGTGCCAAGTATTTATTTGTCTTAAGGTTTTTCTTGCGTATAATGACAAGTTCAGATACGATCTTGACACACTCACCCATTTTAAAATGGAGGGTGTACGTTTTATTTGATTCAACAATCAGTGAATATTGTATCTGTTCTAAGAGATATAGATGGCTCTGAAAATGGTCGAGGAGTCTCTCTGAAAAAAGAAAATAAACAAAAACAAATAGATTCCACGTCATCAGGTGTATATGATAACCAATTTCCACGGCCAAAACTACGTCCTACTGTTGTTATGGTAGTGATATTCGTTGCGTGTGTGTGTGTGTGTGTGTGTGTGTGTGTGTGTGTGTGTGTGTGTGAACGAATCGTTGGGCAATTCTAAGGTTACAGATACTGCCTTATCAAAGTAATGAATATACGATAAGTAAGGATGCATGAAACGTGTCTTGGTCTACTTACTGGTTGAAATACGATTGTGTATTGTACATTTGTCTATCTCTATGTTTACAAATCAAACAAACTGCTCTGGTGGCCTAGTGGTTAGAGCGTCCGACTCGGATGCGAGAGATCGTTGGTTCGATCCCCGGTCGAGTCATATAAAAGACTTACAAAGATGGCACTAACAGCTGCCTCGCTTGGCGCTCAGCATTAAGAGGTTAGTGTTAGGACTTGTTGGCCTGGTGTCAGGATAATGTGACTGGGTCTGACATCATGCTACATGTCTGCGGCATGATGCCCCAGTGTTAGACATCACTATAAACTGCTACATCGTAGCGATATGACTGAAAAATTGTTAAAGCTACGTTAAAAGTCTCAATCAAAACACATCACAAAACAAACTGAAACTTAAACAAATTTTACCCCACTTGTATGAAAGTATGTTTGTGGATAGTGTGTCCAGAAATTATCCTAGCCTTTCTTGGGTATGTATAATAGTATGTGTGGAGAAGCCATCCGTCCCTATTGTATCATACTTCCTGTAAGATAGTATGTTAAGTGTTTGCATGTGTAGTGTTTGCAGCCACTCCTTCCCTTTTCGCTTGATAATCGATGTGGTTTTTAAGTTATTAGATATTGCGTGTTGGATCGTAATCAAAAAAATGGTGTGAAGGATCGTAATTTACAATGGTGTAATAAAAAATGCTAAATTTTTATTGGTGAGATAATACTTGAAAGGTAGGTTGTTTGATGGTAATTCATTCCATTGCCAAGATGTTTGCATATATTTTTAACGTTTACAGTAACATCTAAAACAATAGTGACAGTACAATATTCCAGGAAGTGTTAAGTAACAAAGGCTCGTACTCAGTAACAAGAAAGAGTGAAAGCCAACAAGCTTTGTATTTTTTAACAAAACATTTATTTCCATAGACAACAATGCCAAAATTGGTAAATACAACTTACAATCTGTGAATATAATCCTAAATATGATCCGACGAATGAAAACATAATTCCTATCACTAAATCCAGGTTCGAGTCCCGACGACGTACAAATACAAAAGGCGATGACGTCGGCTTTGGTACAATGTATGAATAACAATAATTTCTCACTTGAATCACATTCTTTGTTTCCAAATAATTACAGAATAAACATCCATGAATATCTTTCTGAATTTGTTTATAAAAAGTCAAAATTTTGAGTTTCCAGAGGAATAAATTATTAAATCCAAAAATCTGAAAAAGAATATTATATTCTGGCAACAAATTAAAAATAATACACCTTGTTCCTTCTTTGTGTCTATGAATCTGTTTAAAAATATTTTGAATGTGTATTTAACCTCAAGAGATTACTTAAAATCTCGGGAGATTGGTCACCTGGTCTCTTAATACGCTAATTTTCACACGTAGGCCAATGTCAAACAACTTAAAATCCAATCATGAAAAGGTTGTTTATAAACAGTGATCACACACAGAAAGTATGCTTGTGATACTGACCAATCATTTTAACTTCCTGTTGACACTTTTACCAGGGTAAGACTGACTAAATGATAATTCTCACTTAACACTTCTTTGTCTTAAGTAAACAAACTTTGTGAAACAAATATATCTCACTACTAAAATTAGAATCTAGGATCCGAAAACAATATTGATTGCAATTAAGTACAATTAAATCAAAATTAAATAAAAAGAATTTTGAACTTTACACACAAGCAATTTAATCACATATAAGTAACAGAAGACACAAAATCCCTACAAGCATGGTCCAGACCATGGTCTTTATCGTCAAATAAAAACAAATGCAGTTTTCAAAATTGGTAATGTCAAACAACGGAGTTATTGCAGAAAATTTTTACGAATGAAAAGGCCTCGGGGTTCTGATATCTGATGATCTACAGACTCGACACAACATTCACGAAATTATCTACAATGCACATCTTTGAAAAGGACTTATTGTTAGATGTTTACACTGCAAACCCAATAAAAGGATTTATTATTAGATGCATACAATTAAAACTCAAGAAAATGGCTCTTCGGAAGTCTCCAAGGAAAAAATGTCGTTTTATACAATATTTTATCAGTTTTTTTTAAAAAAAATATTGTAATTCATTTTGGAATACAGATAAAAACAAAGTATTCATATGTTAAAGATTGCTACGGAATGTTGCCCCACATTATACAGAAAACCACTAAATGTGAAGCCTGTTTAATATCGTACGTGTAACAATATATATGTGAGATTTGTAAATTCATTTATGGTATTTATAGGTAAGAAAAAATAGTTTTTTTTCTGACGATTGAATGTTTTCTCTTCCTGAACATACAACATACAACATCTAAACCATATACAAAGACCGAAATCAAAATAAACTTATTGCTTCATTTGAGTAACTGAAAAATTGAATATGTTACAATCAGACATTGTCGATAGACTTTAAGTTCTCTTCCTCGCGAAAACGAGAGATAAATGAACCAATTTAAGTACACTGTGTACATAACAAAGTACATCAAGTACATTACATAATTGAATTAACCCCGAAAATGTGGTGACTGTGACTTTTACCACACTCTTTGACCTATCTAACTTGTAAAACAATTAAGTTTAACTAGTGACATACTATCAATACGCATTATGTATTTGATGATACGTTTACGGTATATTGTTCATTTTATGTTTTTCAGTTGTATAACACTTTATTCTGATGCTACAATATGTTCTTTTTTGTATAAACATTATAATTCACAAAGATATATACTATTCAGCTACTGTTTAATATTTTAATTAAATTTAATTGATAATAACTCTTAATAGTACAGTAAAGACATTTTTGTAACTTTTATATTCGTTGCAAGCAGTTTTGAAACTAAGTCTTTTTTTTGTGCGTAGACGGATCTATTAACTCATAACAACACGTTTGTCCTAAGATTCAGAACCCTTGAAACAATACCAGGCTTTACACCAATACAATTTAGAGAATTATAGAAAATTACAGACTTCATTTTCTTGTATTATGTACATAATTTGAAATTTTGTGTCCGTCTTTGGGTTTATACTGATTAATAACCAGTGCCTGGAGATATAGTTTCTATACATGAATTATGCTTGAACTGTGAATTCGTTGTCCTTTATCTTGAACACCTTCGCTCTTATCTCAGGACCCAGAGATTGCTACAATATATAATTCGGTCTTCCACATGCGTATGACAAACTTTTGATGCGTCAAAACTATAAGTTTAGATTATATAATGGTGAGCTGTGATGTGTGCGTTAACTGAGGGTATCCATACACATTTGCTACGCGAAAATGTTAAGATTTTGTTTTAAGAAACCTACAATTTACATAAAAGATGTGATTATTTTCACAAACAAGGCAACAATGTTCGCAAAAAACTATGTTACTTTTGCTTTTAATTTTAAATTTGTGTGTGTAAGAAAGAGGACTCGATAAAACATATTTCTTCAATAAACTCCCATTATGACTGACCCTGGTACACAATTTACAGGTGAAATGGTAATCACATCTTTGTGAATACAAGTTTCACAGGAAAAAACACGGGCCTTCTGTGAAAAGGCGTTTTCTTTACAAAAGAGTCACCCAAGTGAATTTCTTCATCGTGCGAGCATTTTGTTATGAAAACATCACTACTGCTTGATGCTTGTTTTCATCATTGCTTCCTTACGTTTTAGTTGGCTTTCTCTTTAAAACCAGGAAATTTAAACTATTAACAGGTATGAATAAATCAGTGTATTTGAGAATTTTTAGTTTGTCAATAGCTTTGCATCTCCATTTTGGAGACGATGATCCATGACTCACTAACAGTTCCTTGTTTCTGGTGTTAGTTTTGAATATATTCTTAAGTATGCATTGATCAAAATTGCTGTCGAAGGTTTGTTATAGTAATTAAAGTCGCTCAAGCAGGTCCAGTGGAATCGAATCTTGTGTTATATGGAATCGGATTCCGTGTGCGGTCGGTGGCTCGGATAAAAAAATATTAAAGCGATCCGTATAATGTATATATAAACGAGAAGTAGCCATTTCCTCTGAAGCTGCCATTGAAATTGAGAACACGAGAGAGCCAGAGGAAGTACGTAGAGGGGGGAAAGCTTAGGAACGTGTCCCACTCCAAAAAAAAAATAGAATGAGCGCAGATCAACCATAACTTTTTCTTGTTGTTTTTTTTTTTGTCAGTTACATGGTTAAAATTATTCATGTAAACACTAAAAATGCAGACACTTCCTGTGGATTCTCCTCCTGGAAACCAACCGGAGTTTCCATTTCACAAACCCTAGCCTACTTGTTTACGTCACAAGCAAACGATGTTCCTGTACCTGCTCAGATAGAGAGAGAGAGAGAGAGAGAGAGAGAGAGAGAGAGAGAGAGAGAGAGAGAGAGAGAGAGAGAGAGAGAGAGAGAGAGCAAATGTCTATGAAAGGTCGACGTGGAGGCCATTATTTTTATTCAAAATTATAATCAGTCGTGGTAAGAGTGTTGGGAATAGTATTGCATCTTCATAGTTTATCCCCAGGATTTGTTATCTTGTAAAAACTTTTTATATTTGCAACAGCTGTTTATACCTGCAATATACTTAAACTTGTAACTGATTTATATGTTTATTTCAGAGTCAATGCTTGTCTAAAACTAAATTATCGTAAATGCACTGTCCCCAAAGTAAGTCTTGGTATTTGTTTTGAATGTCGCTCTGTCCTCGGCCACCAAGATTCCATGGAATCTATATCTTATCTATTAACACGTTGTGTCTCACGTGCTGTCGATGCTTTAATTCTTATTTCTCATATAAACTTTGAACGAAGACCAGTCTATCTTCTGCCATTAGCCGCGTGGAAGTATTAAGAAAAGAAGCTAAAGAAAACCAGAAGATGCTGTCGAATAGAATTGCATTGATTTGCTTAATTGGTGCTTCAAGAGCCTTCATGCTAGGCTATCCCTTACACGCTTCGTGTAAAGTTGAATGGTAAGTACCAACATATACTTTTCACCATCTAGGGCTATCGTGAGTGTTCCTTTCTGTAGAAATTATCGGCACTAGCAATATGTTAGTTTCACACTTAAACGAGCAGACTATATACTGTGTTAGTCTTGGAAAAGGTAGAAGAATATGGATGATATTGATTGAGAAAATGACCACCAAGTGGACC